CCTGCTAATACATGTTGGAACATAGCAGAAGAGGGTCTGAGCCCATGGGTCCCTCCACTCATGTAGGAGACCCAGAAGAAGCTCCTGGATGCCGGATTCAAACTGGCCCAGCTCCAGCCACAGAGGCCATTTGAGGAGTGAACCAGATAGAAGATATCTCTCTGTCTCTCCTTCTCTCTCTCTGATTCTGCCTTTCAAGTAAAAATAAGTGTATCTTTTTTAAAAAGACATATAGAAAATATGGAGACATTATAGTATGTACTAAACATGATTGCTTAAACCTGCACTGAGGGATCCAACAGTCAGGTGTTCAAATCCTCCCAGATCCTCCTCTGCTGTGGATTAGTGGTGCAGAAGAAAATAAGGTTAATAATCTCATAAAAATCTAAAAAAATCTCCTGATTCCCTGGCTGGGGGCTCAGGGATAGTCCTTGCATCTGCAGTAATATCAAAGGACATTGATGTGGCAAAGAGGCAGATGAGGTTTTCTACTTGGAATGTCCCACTTTGCATATTATTCTCATGACAACCCCTGGCTCCACACACCCTGACTTACAGAACAAACTGCTACTCCAGAGGACCTTCTCAGAAACCCACACTTAATACACCTTACACTGACTGGATATAATATTGCTCAAGATTGTGTCTTTAAGCCTCCAGTGCCACTCATGCTCCTTAAGTGGCAGAGAAGTTAAGTCTCCACTTGGCATGCCTGCATTCCGTGGTGGAGTCCTGGCTCTCCCCGCTTTCAATCCAGTCGCTTGTTAATACTGAGAGGTAGCAGACGATGGTTCCAGGACTTGGGTCTCTGCCTCCCATGTGGGAGATGTAAATAGAGCTCCTGCCTCCTGGTTTTAGCCTGATCCAATCCTGACTGTTGCACACATTTGGGAATGAAACAGAGGGTGGAAGATCTCTCTTTGTCTCTCTGCCTTTCAACAAAAAGGAAATTTTTATTTATTTATTTTTAATGATGTTACATAGTGGAAAAGGATGCATGCCCATGTAGACCACTGATTAGGCTGGGATCAAGGAATAGGGGAAGTGGATGAGACAATTATTTTCAATTTTCTTTTTTTTTCCCCCTGTATCTGGGGAGGAGTGGGGAGAGGAGAAAAAAGGGCTGCTCCCAGCAGCCTAACCACATCAGTACCCAGGGGATGGGTGATGGTTGCTCAATGTCATCCCAGGGACCTTGATGAGGAGCATTAAAATGGGAATTTTAAATTCCTGTTATTTATAAATATGAAATATGTTCAGAATTTTAAAAACTGCTTTGTCTGCTTACATTTCATATTAGGGTGTCTGGGCTTGAGTTCCAGCTTTTTCACTCTTGATCCAGCTTCCTGCTAATGCACACCCTGAAAACTAGCCGATGATGGTTCAAGTACTTGGTTCCCTGCCACTTTAGTGAGAGAGCCAGGTTAAGCTTCTGTCTCCTAGCTTTGGCCTTTGGCCCATTTCGGCCCTGGCTGTTGCAAGGATATAGGGAGTGAACTAGTGGATGGGAGCTTACTCTTACTCTGTTTATATGCCCCTGTCTTTCAAATAAATAAAATTTAATTGCACGATCACCCAAAAAGAAAAAAAAAGTTGAAGGAAAAGTGTATTTTCTGTCCCAATTCCAGTTTCCTTTGGGGGTTGAAAACTATCCTATATGGATAAGACTCCAATCTGTTACCTTCCAATATCATCCTTTTGGACCCTGTACAGCAGCCCAGTGGCTAAAGTTCACAGTTCCTTGTCTTGCATGTGCTGGGATCCCATATGGGTGCAGGTTTGTATCCTGGCTGCCCCACTTCCCATCCAGCTCTCTGCTTGTGGCCTGGGAGGGCAGTCAAGGACGGCCCAAAGCCTTGGGACCCTGCACCCATGTGAGAGACCTGAAAGAGGCTCCTGGCTCCTGGCTTTGGATGAGCTCACCTCTGGCTGTTGCAGCCACTTGGGGAGTCAATCAGCAGGCAGAAAATCTTTGTCTCTCTTCCTCTCTATATATCTGACTTTCCAGATATATCTTAAAGAAAAAAAAAATACCATCCTTTCTCACTGAAATATGATTTATTGGTTGGGAATCCTGATTCAGACATCTTCTTTCCTAACCTCAGTATTACAACCTGAATTTTAAAATTGAATAATGAAAGCTGGATTCTTCTGTAACTCATTATCCTCATCTTTATGCCTTTAGCCCCTGAGCTACCAGCTTCACCCAGGATAGAGCCAACACTCCCCTCTCTAGACATTCTAATGTGACCTGCTGCCACCCTTTGGAATTGAGAAATGAGACTGTCAACCCAGAAGAATGTCCTATCTCTGAAACAAGACAGAAAATATTTTTGGGGTTAAGAACCAGTTTTCAAATCAGTCAATTTCAGCAGAAAGATGGAAGAGTGGTCACCAATTGTTAGATTTAATAAGGAAGCTGTGGCAACAAAGAAGGTGAGTCATTTCAGCAGGGAGTAGAGACGCAAGTCCTATTACAGGGAATTTTACATATGACAGCAAAGTTGTATTACAGGAAAAGGCTTAAAAGTCTTTCACAGTACAGAAACTCAGGCATGAATGATTTCGTCACTGTGAAGGCTTTATTTGAACCTGTCTTCGGGTAGAGATCACAAAGAAAACACCTACAGCAGTTGCCTCATCCTTAGTTTTCTCATCTCCTAATTTTCTTCTTCCCTCTCTTCCTCCATGTTCCCGCTTTTGTCTTATATGTCCTACTGAGCCTCATCATTTTTATTTAATGCTTAGTCTACCTTGAACAAACTAGAAAAACTTAGTAAACTGGATGCAATGTAGACCATTATGCCTAGTAAAATGGTGAAGTCCCCAAAAGACAAGTATCATGTTTTCTCCTAACTGTGGTAACTAAAAGAGCACAAAAATGCAATGCATGCATGAAACTGACAGCTTGAGATGTGACTACTGCTTATAGTCCTTGCTGATACTCCTGAGGAACAGTTGACTGACTTTCTACTTACTACTAGTTGAATCCTTTGCTTAGTGGAAGATCAAGCTTGTGATTATAAAATAAATGGAAAATAAGTCATCATAAAAATTAAAAGAGGGGCCCGTGCAATGGCTCAACTGGCTAATCCTCCCCTTTCAAGACCCAGCACCCCATATGGATGCCAGGTTGTCTCCTAGCTGCTCGACTTCCCATCTAGCTCCCTGCTTGTGCCCTGGGAAAGCAACAGAGGATGGCCCAAAGCCTTAGGGCCCTGCACTCACGTGGGAGACCCAGAGGAGGCTCCTGGCTTTGGATCAGTTCAGCTCTGACTGTGGTAGCCATTTGGGGTGTGAACCAGTGCATGATTCACTGTCTCTCCTCCTTTCTGTGAATCTACCTGCCTTTCCAATGAAAATAAAGAAATCTTTTTAAAAAAATCAAAAGAAAAATAAGAGGAAGGAGCAAGGGAGGAAATGAGGGTGAAAAGTATGTTCTCAAAACTGCATATTTATATGTAATATATGAAATCTGATCCCTTTATATAGATAAAAAAGAAAAATTGAAATCTCAAAAGAATAGACACAAGTCAAGTACTATGTAGGCTAGAATAAAAAAAAAATAAAGGGAGGTGCCATAAAGAGTAGGAATAGAAAACAGAACTATATCAAGCACTCACTGTTCCTCTCCACCCACCCCCACAACTTCCTGGGTACAGCAATGGAAACGTCCACAGGTAAGACTTAGGGGACTACAACCGGGCGGGGAGGGCAGGGGGCGGTGGCACACCGTCTTCAGAAGGGTTCAGGAGTGGAGGGCAGGTTGGCAGCAGCTGCAGAAGCACGTGAAGTATTGCGCTATACTGACATCTTTTCACCAGAAAAGCACAGCACAGCAGTGTCCATGCACTTCCCTTTCCTGTCTGGAACGCATTCTCCCTTCTCCTAACTGCTGGATTTCTGGGCGACCTTCAAAATCTGGGTCAAACTGTTTCCATTTGATGGTACCTTCCCTGGGTCAAGTTCACAGTTCCTTCCTCGGGACTGTTGCAGGAGCAGGTACTTACTTCTAAATCTACAGTCAAACTTACACTGAGGTGGTAGGCAAACCTTTAGTGCAGTGGTTAAGATATTGTTTGGAATGCCCACATACCATTTTCAGCGCATGATTTGAGATGCAGTTCCATTTCTGATTCCACCTTCCTCCCAGTGCACACCCTGGAAAGCAATGGGTGATCACTCAAGTGGTTGGGTCCCTATCACTCATTGGAGATACAGACTGAGTTCCTGGCTCCTGGCGCCTGGCGCCTGGCCTCAGCCTGGCCCAGAACAAGCTGTTGTGTGCATTTGGTGATGAACCAAGAGGTGGGTGACCTCTCTCTTTCTCTTTCTCTCTCTTCCCTTCTCCCAAATCTGTATAAACCCTAGGAACTTGCATTGGGTCAAGTCAGTTGATTAAGAATTTTATGGCTTTTGTATTCTTGATGCCTCTCACCTTGCTTCGTACAGTAGATAATTATTAATTGTGTAAAGGACTAGGGAGAAATAAGAGAAAAAAGAGGGAAGAAGGGCAGGACCAAAGAAGGGGATAGGAAGCATCTGTCTCATCTGGACCCATTGGCCAAGAAAAGGGAAATGGATTTAAAATTAACTCTGTGGGAGAGACACTGAAAGGGGAAACAACTCTCTCGGGGCCTTTTCTGCCTCTCGCTCTTCTCCCCGCCACTTCCCCTTATAACACGGGCCATTACGCCTCAACTGTTCTGTGTTTCACTCCGGACACCTGTGTTGTCCCCAAGGAAGGGAAAGGAAGCCACACCATGCCCTCTGACCTAACATCACCCATCTCTGCTGACAGCACCTCCTCCCTTAGCCTCTGCCTACACGATACTCCCACTTCATTATCCTGGGGGGCCGTTCTCAGGCTCCTTGTGCATCCAGCTCCCGATGGGAACTTCCACCTCCAATGGAAACTAAGAGGTACCTAGGGGCAGCCTGTGGTGAGAGGGCAGACCAAACCCTAGGCTGGGTCCACAGACAGCTGAGAAGGAATACTGTCAAGAGGGAAGAACAATAAGGTGGCGCAGGTGTTGGAAAAGAAAAGAGCTGGCCGTTGGAAGTTCTCCACTCCACACTCCTCAAACTCACTCATGCTTGGCTCTTTCACATTTTCCTCCTTGACCCATGGGTCCAAATCACTTCTCTAACGTCCCTCATGGCCCCTGCTCTTTGGCTACTGGAGCCTCCACCAAGATTCCCTAACCATTAGGCAGTCACTCCTGGGCTCGTCTCACTACTCAGGTGACCCAGCTGTCCCCCATCCTCAAGCCCTCTCCTCCTCCTGTCCTCAGGCGCTCTGCCACCACCTTATCCTCAGTGGAGATCATATGTGCAAAAGCAGTGCCTGAGCTTGAAAGTCCTAGGTGAAAACAAAATGCTATCAAGAACAAAGATTTTTCTTCCTCCTCTCATAATTCCTGTCCTTCTTTAAAGATATTTCTTTCCTCTTCCTCCCACCACTACCTTACTGTGCATTCTTCACCCAGCAGGCTTGGTTTGGTGCAGGGTGGGAGCTGAAGCTAGGTGCTGCACTGCAGGCAGGGCCAGGATGCAGGCAGGCATCTCAGCCCGAGGCTTTGGCAGAGTTCCCAGGCACAGCCAACGGCCCAGACCAGGAGAGTAGGCATGGATAAGGTGTGAGATGGCATAGGTCCGGTGGCTGTAGCCCCCCAGGACCAGTATCTCCCCTTGTAGCACAGCACCTGCAGCCCCTACGTGGGGAGAGGGCAGAGGCACCAGGCGACTCCAGCTATCAGTTCTCAGTTGATAGGCCTCAAAGCTCAGCAGGTCCCCAGTCTCTCCTATTCCTCCTGCCACATACAAACGTCCACCCAGAGCAGCCATGACGTGGCCAGCTCGAGGCACCCCCATAGGGCTCAGAAATGTTGCTGGATTTTCAAGTTTGGGGTCATAGTGCAGCAGTGAGGCCAGAAATTGGCCATTCTCACTACAGCCACCGCTCACATATAACCGACCCTCCAAAATGGCAGCTGCATGGGCAAAACACGGTGCTGGAAGTGCAGGAGCCGGCCTAAGAAAGAACAGGACACAAGATCAGGCCATAGGCATCGTCAATTCTTGCATTTCAAGTCTCCCGGTCTCTCCCAGATACCCCCAAGCCCTCTCACCTCCAGACATTGAGCTCAGGGTTGTAGGATTCTACAGAACTGAGGGCAACACCATCATGCCGTCCTCCTAGGGCATAAAGTTGTCCATCCAGTGCCACTAGAGGGAATAAGCTCCGAGCCTGGCATAAAGGTGCCACCTCTTCCCAGTCCTCTAGACTGGGATCCCACCTAGACACAGTGGAACAAGAGATGGAGACAGACTGGTGAGTGTGCGGATAGCTGAGTCAGTGATTTCTCAGACCTGTCCACCTGGGGCCATGCCACACCCAACCCTCTCTTAGAGGCCTCCATACCTGAGAGTTGAAGCCAAGGTGTTGGAATGGCTGTAGAAATCCTGTCCCCCACACACATAGAGCTCACTTCCTTCCAGGCTGGCAGCAGCATGCCTGAAGCGCCCTGGGGAAGGTAGGCCAGGGAACTGCCCCCACTCCACAGTCCGTACGAGTCCCATGCCACAGCGGAAGGCCTGGGCCCACCACACTTTGCGGGACGGCTTTCTTCGGGCCATGTCTGGTCTGAGCCCGTCCCCACCAATCACCACCAGTGCCCGGTCAGGTTTTCTCCATCTCTGTTGACCTGGGACCTCAGCCTCCACTATCACCTGGTGTAGCAGTTCCGGGGGCAGAGGGGAGGGTAGCCCAGCTGCCCGCACCTTCCGAAGTTCCCTAGTTGACATGCGCCCGAAGCGGACACACTGCAACAGGGCCTTGGCCTCTGACTCCTGCGTCTCCGGGTTGGCAGCCAGCCAACACCGTGCAGCCACAAAGGCCTCCAACTCTTCCTGGAGGTGAAGCTCGTCGTTGTCCAGGAGTTCTGCCAGGCAGGCAGCTGGCAAAGAAGGGAAAGTGGGGCACAAAGCCACCACGGGCAAGTGGGTGAGGAGGTAATGACGGGCTTTACTCCAGAGCTGCTCCAGGCCAGGGGCTTCGGCCAGGGGGTACAGGGCCAGGCAGCGTGCGGGGCTGAGGCTTCGGGACAAGGCTCTCTGACAGACATCCAGGCAGGAAGAGCTCTGGTACTGCAGGGCGGCCTGTGCTGCTCTCAACAGTCCTGGCCACCTAGCTCGAACAACCCCAGAGTAGGCAAAGGAGACGAGGAGTTGCAGGTCCCAAGCAGACATGGTGCGCAGAGACACCTGCGTGCCCTGGGATTCCCTCATCCCACTCAGGAGCATGGCCCCGAAGAACTCGCTGCCACAGGCCAGGGCTGCTCGGTGCACTGCAGAAAGGGAGAAGCACAGGAGGACCCAGAGATTTGAAACGTTTCTGGGCACTACTCCAGCCCGGCAACCCCAAACTTTGGGCCAACCACCCAACCCTCAAGGCTACAGCCTGAACTGTGGCATGCATCAGAAAACCTGGAGAACTTGTGAAAGTTCGGATTCTGATCTACCTGGTCTGGAGAAGATGCTAGGGGGTTTATTTTTTAAATTTATGCTTCCATGACCGATTTTCATATTAATAGTCTGAAGATGCCTTAGAACAATTAGAAGAAGAATCTCAAAAACAAAACAGAAAGGATGCTACAACCAGCAACTTATATAGACTGTTTAGATTGTACATGGAATAAAGATGTTGCCTTATGACCACAGAACCTCTGACACAGCTCATTCTCTAATCCTGTGTAGCACTCAGGAATGGCTGTCACCCCATCTCATTGTTGCCCAGCATTAAGCACCTGAAACTTCCCATGTGCTCTGCATGTCCTCCACATAGCATTTCCCCACCTTGGCATTGTTCATGGGACTTTGGGAACTGAAACATGAAAACTTTGAGATCATCTAATTCCACTACTCATGTTAAAGACTGAGTTCTAGAAGGCTGTGGGTTATTTTCTACTTCCAAGCAGTGGCTTTCTGATCAGGTCATCTCCACCCACTGTCACCAATCTGAGGCTGCTATGAGCATGTCTGTGTGCCGGCTCAGCCATGACCCTTGTGACAATGAAACTGTCCCTTTAACAAATACTGCCAGACATCTAGATCTCTGAAAACACCTCTGAAAGCAACTCAGTTTAAGATACTCATTTATCTCTTGTGGAATATTCTAGCCTAAAATGTAGTCTAGTCTTTTGGATCTAAAATCACGTTTATAGAAAATTGAGAGGGTAAAGGAACAAGTTAAAGTCATGAAGAAAAATCATTCAGGCTAGGAAATGGAGCATTCTACAGGATAATTTGCTTCTTCCAGAAATCACTTTATAAAAAAATGGGGAGAGAGTATTATACTGGATCAGAAGAAATTGAACACACAATTGAATACAGCACGGTCTTTGATTTGTTCCTGAATTAAACAAAGTAGTTCTGACAATTTTGGGACCAGTGGAAAAACATAAGTGTGTATAGATTAAATAAAGGAATTCTTAATTTAGGGGCTGGTGTTGTTGCAAGCACTTAAAGCTCTCTCCTGCAGGGCCAGTATCCTACATGGGTGTCAACTCAAGTCCTGGCTACTCCACTTCTGATTCAGCTCCTGCTAATGCAACAGAAGATGGCTCGAGTGTGCAGGCTCCTGCCACCCACATGGGAGACCCAGACGAAGCTCCTGGGTCCTGGATTTGGCCTGGCCTAGCCCTGGCTGATGTGTCCATCAGGAGAAAGAACCAGCAGATGGAAGATCCTTCTCTCTCTCTCTGAGAGTCTCTCCCTCTATTTTTCTATAACTCTGATTTTCAAAATAATATTAACCCTTTTAAAGAGGAATTATTAATGCTCTTGGACATAATAAAGGTATTAAGAAAATACCTTTAAAGAGACACACACAAATATGAAGGCACTTCACCAAGTCTGCAGAGGGAAGATAGTGTCGCAATGCAGCTGGTAAATCCACTGCCAGGGATGCCTACATTCCATTTCAGAGAGCCTGGGATCAAGTGTCACCTTTGCTTCCGATTCAGCTTCCTGCTAATGCACAAGCTGGCTTGAGCAGTTGATGGCTTATATACTTGAGATCCTGCCAGCCATGTGGGGGACCCGGATTGAGTTCATAGTCCTGGGTTCAGCCTGAGCCAGGCTCTGCTGTTGAAGTTATTGGGGAATAAGCCAGCATTGGAAGACTGAATTTTCTCTCTTTCGCCCTACCACTCAAATGCACAAAAATTAATAAGTAAACTTTAATATCTATGGACTAGTGTCTTAAAAATATTTTATAGAAAACAGAATTTGAAGTATGAGTTTATTTTGATGCAAAAAAGTCTTGAAATAAATGCATACGTTTTTCATGCATTATGAAAAAAATTACATCAAAATGAACTCATACTTTTAATTCCATTTTTTCTGCACTTCTTGAAGTACTGTCATACTTATGAGTGAAATGTCATAATGTTAAGATTGCTTTATTTATCTTTATTGAAAAGTCAGATTTATAGAGAGGAGGGACAGAGAGAAAGATCTTCCATCTGCTGGTTCACTCCCCAAGTGGTCACAACAGTCAGAGCTGAGCCAATCCAAAGCCAGGAGCCAGAAGCTTCTTCTGGGTCTTCCACAGGGGTGCAGGGTCCCGGGGCTTTGGGCCGTCCTCTACTGATTTCCCAGGCCACAAGCAGGGAGTTGGAAAGGAAGTGGAGCAGCCAAGAGACAAACCAGTGCCCATATGGGATCCTGGCACTTGCAAGGCGAGGATTTTAGCCACTAGGCTACCATGCCAGGCATCATAATTTTAAAAGAAGCAAAATAATAATGATGAAAAACAAACACAATAAAATATGTAAAAAACAAATAATGTAAATTCAGCTAGCTGATGGATGTTTCAGTGTTTATCTTTGTTTTCCCCTCCACCACTCTGCAAATCTTTAGCAGAAACTGGATTGGAAGTGAAGCGATGGGGATTTGAACCGGTGCCCACACAGGATCCTGACACTACAGGTGGAGGCTTGCCTTGATATGCCACAGCACCAGCCCCATGTTTGGTTTCTCTTTGCTATAAATGTGACAGTCTGCTAAAATTTCTCTTAGCAGAGGGCCCCAGCCCCCAGCGAAGCTTCCTGAGACGTGAACATGAGGCATGGCGGCAGATGTTGCTGAAATGCCGCATTGCCTTTCAAGCAGTATTGACCTGATGTTTCCCTAGCAGCAAGCATCAGCAACAGGTCCCAAACATACACTGTCTGAGGGAATTGACATTCTTTGAAACAAGTTAAGCTGGCTTAGTTTCCATATCACCACTCCACCTGGAGCTCAGAGCCTACTGTGACAGGCTGACAACCACTGCATTCACCTCTGTACACTCGCCTTGGGGTCTTCAGGGATGTACTCCCAAAGACTCAGTTGGAAACTGAGAAAAATAAAAGCACTGATATAAATATGGCTAAATTTCAAACCCTAGTGAGAATTTTATAATCATCCAATTGAACTTTCCCTGCTACCTAGTTCTATTGGAAACAATAATAACAACTTCTGGGATTATCGCCCTTCTAGAAAGTTCTAGAAATGGTTCTCAGTCCCTTCCTCTAATGTGGTTTTTGACATATTTTAGAATCTGGTTTCTTTCTTGGTAAAGCATTAACATCTGAACTAGGTAAACTCTAAACTAATCCTTTGTGATTTAAACTTTTATGTGACCCTATTCTGACTCCATTCTCCAGACCCTGTGTGTCCTGACCTAACTGCCGAGGAGGCAGGTTAGGCCTCAGAGAAGCCAACTGGCCTGGCGGCTAGGGGTTTGTATCCTGGTTCTCAAAGCTTACTGTTCCTTGTCTGAATCTAAGCAGCACTAGCTTCCAGTGATTATCGGAAGAGATGCCACGTGTAGAAATTCCTGGCGCTCAGCACTTAACTAAATGCTAGTGAAATACTTATTTGACTTTACTTGGCTTTTTGGTCCTGAGCCAAATCATATTCAAAGTGTCAGGGCCTGGTAGCCTTAGGATGGTGGTGAAATGGCACCAGATCTCTCTCCCTCGCTGCAGGACCCCACAGATGTTCCGTGGAGGCAGGCACACTTAGGTAGAAGGAAGTAATGGCCCTTTGCACCACTGTCTTCTGGCTTATCTGTGTCCCAAATAGAAGATGCCAAGCAGGGCCATTGGTTAATCCCTGTTGGAGTCCATCACTTTCTGCTTGTTCAGCCAGCTGGCTGAAATCTCATTGCTTGTACGAGGAAAGCCACACCACAAATCCATCATTGCGGCAGGAAAACAACTCAACTGCGCATGCCCAGATGCCAGTCGGTGCCAAGAGGCCCCAAAAGTCACCTGAGGGTAATTCTGACTGCCTCAGGGATCAAAACCATTGCTGCAGTGAGCAGATGGAACCACCTGTTGCTTGCACACAGCTTCCTAGCCTAGGTATCTGTAGAAAAGCAATGACCCTGTGCCCTCACCTTGCAGCCGGCAGCCGTCCGCCTCCAGCTCCAGGTCACACCCGATGCCCTCTTGGTAGAGGAGCTCGATGCTACGCAGGTTCGCCCACAGCTCCTCTGTCTGGTCGGGTTTCTCTCCGTCTTCCATGGCCTCCTCACATCTCTGCTGGGCGGCTGCCTTCACCCGGGGCGCTCCCAGGGCATCCGCCACCACCTCTACCTCCCCATGAGGGATGGGGCCCAGCACCCCTTCATAGGCAAAGGTCAGCACGGACTCCCAGCCCCTAGGGGTCACAGCGAGGCTGACAGGGGGCCGAGGGCTTCCACCGCCCTCCCGCAGCCTCTCTCGGAAGAGGCTGCTCACTGCGGCCAAAATTACCCGGTGCACCCCATAGACCTGCCCACCGACCGACACCTCCTCATCTAGCAACAGCCTCTGCTCCCGCAGCCGCCGCGCCTCGGCAAAAAACTGGATGGGATGCTCCTCACTGCGAATCCCTTCAGGCCACAGCCTGCCTTCATCGATCACATCCTCTTCATCTTGCTCTTCTTCCTCCAGTGGCAAAGCTGCAGAGGGGAGATTTCCTGGGACCCGGAAGTGGGGGCCGGGCTTCTCCAGAGGAAAGCAAGGCAAACCGGGATCCTCATCTGGGGACGGAGGCCAGGACGGGGTTCTCCGGGCCGGCATAGTGAATCCAAGAGAGGCTGTGCTGTGTCCCAGATGCTCATGGCCCGGGTTTGCAGGGTGGCTGCAGGTGAGCAGAGTGCCAGAGTTGGACCCTGAGGAACCATATCCCCAGCCCTTCTAAATGCCAGTCCTTCCTCCTCCAATGCCCCACTGCTACCTCAAGGTAACATGCTAAAGCTGGAGTAGCATTTACTCCATGCACTGAAGTGCCAGGGCTCATGCACTGTAGCCAAGTGTGTGAAACATGCAGTACCCAGGCCCCAGACCCTCCCATTTTTTAAAATTACCTTCAATAGACACCAGCCTTTTGCTTGCCCTCTCACTTGCATGCCCTCTGCTTGGGAACTCACTCCCACTTGTCAGTGGCCCTCTCCTGCTAATTATAGTTGGTGCTGGCAGGACACAGGCGCTGGGCATCCAGCACCTTAACTCTGACACCCTATCTCCTGGGCTCCATCCCAGAATGACTGCCCCCAACCCTGTTCCACCTGTAGGTCAGACATGGGTGCTGAGTGAGGCGAATTTGGAAACCAAAAAGGATATGGGGCATGAGTGGAGTGAGCCAGCTGGAAGGCCTGGGTGCAGAAGAGTAGGTGAGAATGGCAAGGTGATGGAACTGGTGGACTCTGCACTTTGCGGACCAGCAGAAAGCTGGGCAAGAGAAGAGAAGCATACGCTTTGGTCAGACTTGAATTTCAGCTGTTGACTTCTATGCATGATAGACCTGGGAGCCTAGAACACACCATACTGACATGGAGTACAAATCTAACTAGACCCTGTTCATGGAGGATAAACATGGAGTGGAAGTGAAGGGGCAAGGGCAGGAGCAGGTTGGAAGACCTTGGTGACACCTTCACAAAGAGTTTCTCTGTCCAGAGCCGAGATCCTGACGCCCAGACCTGTTTTTACAGGAGTCAAGTCTCTCACTGGGCCACTAGGATAAGGACCCACAGTGGAACAGATGGTTAAGCTCCACTACTTTGAGATCACAGAGGCAGAGAGGCTGAGGTGCACAGGCACATTCACTGAGCTGGCAAAAACCACACTCTGCAGGGCACCTCCCATTTCATGCTATCACTGGCACGTGCCTGAAGCCCCTAAAATCTGGCAAAAGCTTTGAATCAACCAACTCTGGGTCAGTCTCCTACGAGAAGCATTTGGGGAGGATGGCAGCAAGCCATGGCCTCCCTGCCCTCTTTGGGGAGACAAGTCAGCCAGTTATTGCCAGAGGCAGACTCCTTTGGCCTATAAAAAAGGGTATTCTAGGCTGGACAAGTCAGACAGACAAGAATGGAGACATGACTGTTATGATTTTTCTAAAAGATTTATTTATTTTTATTGGAAAATCAAATACACAGAGGAGAGACAGAGAATTGTATCTTCTGTCCATTGATTCACTCCCCAAGCTGCTGCAACAGCCAGAGCTGAGTTGATCCAAAGCCAGGAGCGTGGTACTTCTTCTGGGTCTCTCACATGTGGGTGCAGGGTCCCAAGGCTTTGGGCCGTTCTCAACTGCTTTCCTGGGCCATAAGTGCAGGGAGCTGGATGGGTAGCAGGCCACCAGGATTAGAACCAGAGCCCATATGGGATCCCAGCACGTGCAAGGTGAGGACTTTAGCCTCTAGACTATTGCACCAGGCCCAACTGTTGATTTAGTATTGCCAAGGGGCTGGTACAATGGCTCAATTAGCTAATCCTCTACCTGCAAGCACTGGCACCCCATTTGGGTACTGGTTCATATCCTGCCTACTCCACTTTCCATCCAACTCCCTGCTTATGTCCTGAGAAAGCAGCAGAGTATGGCCCAAAGGCTTAAGACCTTGCACCCAGGTGGGAGACCCAGAAACAGCTCAAGGCTCCTGGATCCTAGCTTCAGATCAACTTCACTTTTGCCATTGTGGCCACCTAGGGGAGTGAACCAGCAGATGGAAGATCTTTCGTCTCTCCTTCCCTATGTTGAATCTGCCTTTCCAATAAATATAAATTAATAATAATTAAAAAAAAGCCAACTACTCCTTCTGGCGTCTGGAGCTATCTCCATTTCCCCACCTGTGGCCTTGAAAAACCTAACCAACTGAATCATGACCCCAAGGTACGCCTGGCTCCAAGGGCAGCACTCCCTGCAGGGACTTTCCTAACAAGCGGGAACATGGTGGTCATCCTCTGCCTCCTCTTCCTCAGCTCAGACATTTCAGGCTGCTCTCACAACCTCCCTCTGCAGAGGACACTGCGGTCAGAACCTCCAGTCCCCAGCAGGAAGTGAAGAAACTGTAATCTGGCAGAGACGTACGCTGGGCCAGCCTCTGCCCACCACCTGCCTACAAGGACAATGACATGGGTCCCACTACGAGTTCTATGCCAATGTTATGGTCCTGGGTGGACATCACTCAACTCTGGAGGTTCTGTGGGGCTCTACCAGGGTGAGATTCATGCCAGAAAAAAAGTATTTTTTTCTAAAAATGTATTTTTTATTAGAAAGGCAGATCAGATTTCCGGAAAGGAGAGGCATACAGATCTTCCATCCACTGGCTCCCTCCCCAAATGGCTGTATCAGTTGGAACTGAGCCCATCTGAAAGCAGGAGCCAGGGGCCACGTCTTTCACCTGCTGGCACAGGGTCCAAAGACTTTGGGCCATCCTCCACTGCTTTTTCAGGCCATAAGCAGGGAACTGGATAAGAAGTGGAGCAGCCGGGCCACGAAGTGGCACCTATATGAGATCCTCGTGCTTGCAAGGTGAGGATTTAGCCATTGAGCCATCACACTAGGCCCACCAGAGAATTCCTGAAGGTAGGATGTAATCTGGTGCTGCCCTTCCCACTAAGGGCCTCCAGGCACATTAGTTACGGTCTAGATCACAGACAGACTGGCTACGAAGGAGTCAAAGTATCTCAGTAACATCTGTGCCATCTCATCAGGGGCTAGCGAAACTTCCACCTTACTGAGAGGAGCCCATGACCAGCCACATTCCTGATACAATGGAGAACCCCAGGCCCACACCCAGCAAGGCCTCAGTGTGCTTCTGCTGGCTCATGGGAGTCACTATACTGGATCAGAGCCCAAGGTTCCCAAAGACAGAATTGCCAATATCAACAACAGATCAACTGCACCTCTTCCCCTGTGTTCACAGCAAGTTATTAGTCTGTGATAGTTGATACAAAGAAAAAAATGGCTGAGGACCTAGGTGGCTTGAAGAGTGAACTTCATTCTAGTGTTCTTGGAGGGTGTCTCTGAGACAGGGACTAGCTGGCAGGGGTGGTTCTTCCATCACTACTTGGCTGTGCTCAGCATATGGAACATCACCTTCAAGGCTGTCTGGATCACGGCTAGTGTGGACACAGTCATGAGCTTAGAGCTCTCCTGGGAAGTAAGAAGGGAGGCAGAGGGCAGGGCCTAGCAAAAGTCGCTATTCCCACCCAGGTATGTGACTCATTACCCTGCACTGAGCCTCAGGCTACCATCACTGGCTTCTATCTCAGCCAGTTGCCAGGGGTGAAGGCTGGTAAGCCTGCTGTGACATCCCTATCTCACAGAGCCCCTAGGAATGTCAGCAACTGCCAAGGCTACAGACCAGCTGTCCTTTTCTCTACTCCCCCAAGGCAGGTATTTGCTTATTTCACGCATGTTCATCGCTGCCTTTGCCAATGCCACAGCCATGGACTAGGACCGTGGTAGGTTTTGTTCAGACCCTCTCAGACTTGCTCTGGGTACTGCCCACCCTTCTTTCTGTATTCATCTCTCCAGCCTGACAATCCTGGACGGTCTAACCTTGCACTGTGACTGCAGATTAGATGAATCACTTCTCAAAAATCACAAGCAGGAATCTAACCAGCCAATACCCTGTGACACCTGAGTCCTGCCCTTCCAGGAGGAGCGCAGCATCCAAACATGGCCGCAAGCAGGGAGCTGGACGGGAAGTGGGGCTGCCGGGATTAGTACCGGTGCCCACCGGCGCATGCAAGGTGAGGACTTTAGCCACTAGACAGTACTGGGTTTGATACGAAAACTTTATGTTACGGCGATGTTAGGATAGCACCTATGATGTCCCTCCCCAGTTCTGGCTGCTGAGCAGAACGGCCTCTGAGAGAGCTGTCAGAACCCCTGGCTCCTTCACCAGCAACAAGAATTTACCCCACACCAACTCCACGTTCTAAGCAACACAATCTAATTAGCAACATATAAAACCAAAAATACTTTATTGCCGAGTCATCTTGGGATGTCAACCTTGCTTACAGTGCACAGCTTCGCCAGGGTGACAGGGAGTCCACAGCTGTGGCCCAGCTCCCAAGGCAAGACAGAGACTAAGGCCCAGGGTCCGCGGGCTCCCCTGAGGAAACTCTTAGATTCTGTTCATCTTGCTAGTCCCTCCAGGTCACTTCTACTTCATCTGTCCGAAACCTGTGGGAAAGCAGGAAAAGTCTGGCAGATGGGCTAACCCTCAGAGCTCTGCATTCTTCCCTGCCTCCCCACTGTAAGTACCCTCCCTCCCCTGCCGACTTTAGCCTGTTTCCACCAAACAATCCTGTCTATCCCCACAAGGAGTGAACCCCTCACCTCTGTGTGACCCCAGAATCCCTGAGAGGAGTTCTGTGGCCGGCCTGAAACATCTCCCAGCCAGCCTGGGCTATCATGGCTCCATTATCAATGCAGAACCTTGGAAGCAAGAGATGCGATTTAGAATCTGCAGGCAGCAAATCCCAGTAACCGAACGAGAAAGGGCCTTTACCTCTCATCTGTGGCAAAAAGCTTAGCTCCACGTTCCTGGCACATTATCCCCATCATCTCCTGTAGCCGCACATTACCTACAGAGGCAGGAGGCAGGGTGAGCTTGGTTTCAACTATCTCTCCATGGCCCAGCAGCAAGCTTCATGCACACTTGGGATAATGCGGTAGAGAGCCAGGGGCAGAAAGCAGCACAGGACAAGAAGTGAAACCAATAATTGTCTCCAATTCTCAGCCATTTAGAACAACAGGAGAAGGAAGCCTAGTGCCACCAAAAGGAAAGGGCAACACTGCTCCAGCATACGTACAGCCCACCCCTCCGACAATGAGGGCCTCCTGGGAGCCACAGTGCGCCATAGCTCGCTCCGTGATTTCTACCAGCATTGCAAACACAGTTTCCTGCAGGGGACAGATCAGGTGAAAACATCAGAGGGCACCCCAGGTTAGTACTGCTTTATTATGTAAAAGCAACCCCAGCCCAAACCTTCTGCACCAGCTTTTTATTCCATTACCTGCAAGGAGAAACACAGATCTTCAGGAGTACACTCCCCTGTGGCCAGCATCCTCTGGGCCGCATCCTACAATTAAAGGAGAGGGAAAAAAAAGTGATTTGGGGATTACATGAGAGCAAAAGTGCCAAGGGATCCCCACCTTTCAGCACAATTCACACTATGAGCACATCCTGTACCACACATTGCCCTTCACACATACCACGCCATATGTTGGCAGCATCAAGAGTCTGTAACGTAACAACTTCTTGAACACTTGCTGTTACACATCCCACCCCTTACAGAGCTCGTTCAATATTTCTCATCAGCACTAACACTCATTGATGTGTTACAAATTATTGCTTCCCCTTCATCTCTCTTGTCTGTCTCCCCCCGCCTTTTTTTAAGAATCATTTATTACAAAGCAGATTTCCAGAGATGAGACAAAGAGAAATCATCCTTCTGCTGGTTCACTCTTCAAAAGGCCACAACGACCACAGCTGATCTGATCCGAAGCCAGGGGCTTCTTCCTGGTCTCCAACGTGGGAGCAGGGTCCCACGGGTCCTTGACTGCTTTCCCAGGATACAAGCAGGGAGCTGGATGGGAAGCTGAATGGGACACACCATATGTGATCCACTGGCACCCATACGTGATCGCAGAGCTTACAAGGGGAGGATTAGCCAATTGAGCCATCATGCCACAGCCTATTTCCCTCTTTAGAAAAAAAAAAATCTAAGGTCCCCACAAACAGGAATTTTTGTTTTGCTTCCTGCTGTATCCCTACTTTGTAGAACAGTCTGGCACAGGAAAGATGTTCAATAAAAATAAATGTTAGGAATTTATTCAGCATCTAATACAGGCCAGGACTAGGGTATATGCAAGAAATAAAACAGAAAGTAAAACAGACATGATTCATTTAAAAAATCAAGAAAGTGGGCCTGGCATGGTAACCTAAATGGCTAAAATTCTCACCTTGAATGCACCAGGATCCCATATGGGCACCAGTCCTAATCTGGTGGCCCTGATTCCCATCCAGCTCCCTGCTTGTGGTCTGGGAAAGCAGTTGAGAACTGCCCAAAGCCTTGGGACTCTGCACCCATGTGGGAGACCTGGAGGAAGAATTCCTGGCTCCTGGCCTGGAATTGGCTCAGCTCTGGCTGTTGCAGCCACTTGGAGAGTGAATCAGCAGACAGAAGATCTTCCCCTCTCTCTCCCTTCCTTTCTGTGTATCTGACTTCTCAATAAAAAATAAATAAATCTTTTTCAAAAAATCAAGAAAGTGTCCCTCATCTCACCTCTCACACTCACCTCAATAAAAGACAGGATCCCTGAGAATGAGACATCCATCCCCTTGACAGTATAGGGCAGTTCAACTAGTTTCTTGCCTCTGTGTGGGGATAAGTAAAGGTACTGAGCCTACAGCCAGCTGCTGCTCACCCTGCAAAGCCTTTCCAGGGAACTCCCGCAAGCGCCGGCCGCCAGCCTCCTTCCACTCAGTTCCCCCTACCTCTTGGCCATCTGTTCGATGTTGTAGCCAGGACTTGGGTCATTGGAAATCTACCAGAGGCAAAAAGGAAAACAATAACCAGAAGACGATAAATTCAGCAGTGCAGGAAGCAAAGCTTACCTCCCTCCTCCACTTTGAAGGCGCCCCCAGATTTCAGCCACATCTCTGTTCTCTGCAGCCCCTGTGGCTTACCTTCAGCACTCGAGCGAAACGGTCCAGACAGTTCCCCACAGCAATATCGATGGTTTCCCCAAAGATGCGGTAACGATGTTCTGAGTACGCAATCACCTAAAGGTGATGAGGATGTCCATGAAACCCTAGGTCTGTAGTGCTTGGCTTTGGGGAAGAACGTGGCCGAGGATCAACATGGCCGTCGGAGATTCAAATGAGACATGCAGCTAAGTGCTTCCCCAAATCCTAATTGGTTGACTTTTTAAACAGCTCTTCTCTAAGAAACATACACCCCTGCAAAATTTTGAGTAGATTCCTAATCTCCAGAAGACAGATTGGTCAGAGCCAAGGCAAACTATAATTTCAGATCTATTTCTCCAGTTTACAGGTTCAATATATTCCTTAGAAGCAGCCCTGACAGCACAGGTTAGGAGCAGACTACCTTACTTGCAAGCAGGAAGTAAGAATCAGTCTAGAGCCTCCTTCTATGGCAGTGGTATTTGAAAAGTAGTTCTGATGAACTTCAGAACCTCAGACGGGGGCCAGGCTAATGGCCCACCCAACTCAGTAAAGGCCATCTCCATAGGCGAATCTGTCACGTGTCCAACTCAGCAAATACCTGTATCACCTGTGGACTCACACTGAGGGCTTCTACGGACCAGAGAAAGCTCCCCTCAGCTACCAGGGATGGCTCACTTTTTCCATACTTCTCTGCTGTTGGAAAGCTTTCTTTCTGTTATTTATTCCTTTCACACCCAATCATCACCCCCTCTTTTTACACCTAAGCAAAAGGGAACAGGAAGAGGAAATCTTATCACTTCTTTTCATGAACTCCAACAGTATCTACTACTACTTTCCACCACCCAAGACTTGTTGTCCTCCAAGCCTCAACTGTCCTCTCTATTCACTAAAGTTTCCACATTGTCATGACAGGAATATGCACCTTACAGTTAACTATTACACAAACCAAAGACTTAGAATATAACCCTTTCATAAGCTGGGGGCCATACTGAGCTATTTCTAATAATAACCCTATGTGGTGTTCTGAGGGAAAGAAACCCAATCACAACTTTAAAATGCTATGTGACTATCCCAAGCAATGTTAGTTTTACTCATACATTTAACGTCTTTTGTACCATTTATAATGTTGCTTCTTTCTTATATTTTTATATTCCTAGAATAACAAAGTTCATGTTTCCCTTTATAGCAACACAAAATGTCTAATTATCTTACAAAAAAACCCTGCTAGTTCTCCTGAGTTTTAACTGCTAAAATTTACAGAAAAAAATAAAATGCTTCAAAATAACGAAAGCTTACATTTTTACCATTCTTTTTGTAAACTGGAAATTCCTAGTTTTTGTTAAAAAATACATATAATCAAAGGTACAGAAGTCTCCTAATGTTCTAATTATCCTTTCAAAATCTGCTCTCTTACAAATCCGCTGTGGGTTTTCCGGTGAACACATAAAACAATTCTGTTGCAGTCCCCACAACTCAGGAAGGAAGGAAGTGGTCCACTGCCTCTGAAGTTAAGATGAAAAGGATACAGTATTCGAAATACCTGTGTGTTTCCCCCACTGACGTACAACACAGTTGGACTGGTGGCTCCAGTGATGAGGCGGCCCATCTCAATGTGGCCTATACAGTGGTTCACACCTAGCAACGGCTTGTTCCACAGCTGGGCCACGGTGCGAGCCACAACAGCGACAGAAACCAGGGGGGCACCCATACCCGGACCTAGGTGGGGATAGAAATGGTCCTTGGAATCCTGGCTTGGAAGAACACAGGTGGGGGGGAGCAGGGAATACCTAACTGAGGAAGGGCTCACATGGTAACGGAGGCAAGGCACAGGCTACACTGACCCAGCCAGGCCCCTCTGCCTCCATCCCTGCTTCCTCTCCCAGCCATACCCTTGGTGAAGGCAATGCAGTCAACATCCTGAGAGGCTAGCCCAGCCTCTGTCAAGGCTTCCTCCAACAGATCCAGGATAACAGCTCGGTGGTGCCGGGCAGTATCGCCAGGAAGGAATCCTAGAAAATGGGCACAGGCCAGAGGTCATAAGGTTTTTTTGTAGTGAAATAGAGTGGAATTTTCAGACAATGGCAATGAGAACCCCCGAGCTTTAGCAAGCTAGGAATGCTGCTTTCATTTTCAAGCATCCTGTCTCCCAAGTCATCACCCTGGTAACTTCTCCACAAGCTGCTCACCCATCAGCAGTGCTATTCCCGCTTAGCCTTCAGGACTCAGCACAGAGTGTACCTCAGGCCGAGACCTGGACCTGATTGCATTATTATGTTTCACACAGAACAATTACAGCATAAGAATGATCTATGGTTTCCATATTTTAATGCTAATGATCTTAACACAGTGACTATTTGTCTTTGTATTTGCAGCACCCAAGTGCTTAGAATAGTGAGGGCTTAAACACACATTTGTAGCCATTTCTAACACCTAAAGCCCATCAGGTTATTTGTTCAGGGAAGCTGCTCAGGCACATGAAAATCATTTTCCCTCTCCTGCATGTGCAGGTGTTTTGGAAGACAGTAATTAAGGCATAGCAGCTTATAAGTAATACCAACTAAACTTTAAGGTGTTGGCATTATATTTTAAAAAATTATTCAATTTTATTTGAAAGGCAGAGTTATAACAGAAAATGAAAAGAGAAAGATCTTTCATCCACTGGTTCACTCCTCAAATGGACACAAAGGCCAGAGCCGGGTCAATCTGAAGCCAGGAGCATCTTCCAGATCTCCCTTGCCCAGTGCAGAGGCCCAAGCAGTCAGGCCATCTCTGCTGTTTTCTCAGGCCACAACAAGGAGCTGGATCTGGAACTGAAGCAGCGCACAAATGGGATGCTGACCCTGCAAGCGGAGGTTTACCTTGCTACATACTACAGCGCAGGACCCCTAACGTTATCATTTTAAGTCAGAATAGGATGGGTATTTAGGCGCTGGAGGCACTCACAACTCAGAGTGCCTGGACCGAGTTCTGGCTGCTCCACTTCCAGTCCAAGTTCCTGTTGATGCGCATCTAAGGCATATGATGGCTCAAGGGTCCCTGCCAGCCATAAGTGGGAGACGGCTGTAGTTCCTGGCCGGTGGCTTCTATCTGGCCCAGATAAGCCTTTGGGAATTGTATCCGTGGATGAAGGATCTCTCTCACACCCTTTCGAGTAGATACAAAAACAGTAAAATGTAAAGATTTGTATCACAAATCCAGTCATTTCTACCTGGTACCTAACTGAGAAGCCCTTCCACCCTCTCTCCTCCGCATCTTTCATCGTCTGAGTCCATCTCTACTGCAGCACTCCAGCCAGTGTATGAGCTCTCCGCACACAAAATGCACTAAAAAAAAAAAAACCCTCAACAAGTCCGAGAGTCCGAGCGCCCGGGACTGCCACTCGACAGTCCTGTCACATCATCAGGGGCTACCAGAAGGAAGCGCCCAGGTCGCATTTCGCCCAAGTTTAGGGGAAAGCCGCCACCCCAGCCTGGCTCACCTGTGCCGGGAGGCGTGACGTACGTCCGCCGCGGGTTCGCCAGCACCTTGCCATCCCGCACCACTCCCACACCGATCTTGTTGGCGCTGCCTTCGAAGCCCAGCACGGTGGGCATAGTGCAGCCCGAGAGGAAGCGCCGACCAGCGCCCCGCCAGGGAGCCGGGGAGGCGCTCGGAGTCCCGGGCGGCGGCGCACACGCACAACGCCACTGTTGGTAAACACCAGAAGGCTCCCGCGGGTCGGAGCCCGCGTCTGCGCCTGCGCCTGCGCCTGCGCCCTCTCGGCCGGCTCACCAAGGACCCCTCCGGGACGTGTCTTCCCAGCTGCCAGGAACGCCGAGCCGGCCTCCGCGGCGTCCCTGCCTACCCACTCCCCACCGCTCTCCTGCGGCCCAGCCGTCTTTGCCACTGAGGCTTTTCACTTCCGCACAGCACAGGTTTCTTCTATCACGGTCGCAGAATGAGTCGTACGTTCATCTGGCAGAAACGTGAACAGCCTGAAAACGAAGCATGGGGGCCTCCAGACCTCCTAGGGCTGCCGGAGGGGTAAGTCTCCGTCACGTGGTGGCAAACAGTCCAATCAGGCGCTGCCCCTGGTCATGTGATCACACCAGGTACCCACGTGGGAGCGCGGCGTGCTCGCTCCTTTGTGCTCGGGTAAGGATCCCACCTGGGACCGTGGCTGTTCAGATTTGGGGCTGCTGATTTGCCTACAGGAGGGGCCTCTGATAGTCTGCGACGGGATCTTTTATTAAGGTGTGCAGTTGGCCGTGGGGGCAGTTCTCGCGATTGCTGCAAAGGCTCTATGAAGTTATCTTGTTGAGGGAGGGAGTGAATCGCCCAAGGCCTGATGCACCGAGGCGGGGACGGGACGGGGTTCAGAGACTATGCGGCTGGAAAAGCGGGACCTAGTGCGGGGACGCCCAAAGATGGAGTTTTCTTCCCAGTCCCAACTGGCTGAACCGTTTCTTTGCATCTGTAGGCACTGCGGTGAAAACACTGCTTCGCTGGGCGACTTGGTTCAGGTGCCGAAGGGCGATCCTTATAGGCATGCCAAAGCGTGGGAAAAAGAGGCCCGCGGCAGAAGACGGGGAGGAGCCGAAGACGGGTGAGAAAGCGAAGCCCCCTCTGCAGGTTGCAGTGCTGGTGGGAGGAGTGTTTTTTAATAGGCTTTATGCAATAATCAATAGGGGCCAACTCCTAACTGGGCCGATTCCTAACTGGTGCAGAAATTGGAGAAAACGACGTTAACCGCAGGGTCCCGTGGGTTTACAGTGAACTCTGGGTCGATGTTGTAAACCTCCAGTTTGTATTGCTGTGTATTCTCGTTATACAGAACCAGAAGCCAAAAAGAGTAAAACAGCCAAAAAGAACGAAAAAGAGGCGACCGCAGAGGGCCCCGTTCTGTACGAGGACCCCCCAGATCAGAAAACTTCACCTAGTGGCAAAGCTGCCACTCTCAAGATCTGCTCCTGGAATGTGGATGGGCTTCGAGCCTGGATTAAGAAGAAAGGCTTAGATGTGAGTGGGGTTCGAGGAGGGGAAAAGGAATGACCTTGGAACTTCACTATGTTTCATATTAGTGCCCAGGATATAAATTTTTCTTTTCTTATGGGAGAGACACAAGGAATACTTCACCAAGACTTGCCTGTTTATTTCTTCCTTGCCATAGTTTTGTTGCTGTTGTGAAAAAAACCTCCTTACTGGACTTCCTCTGTTTTGGCTCCAAATTACTCTGTATTCCAGGAACTACTCTGGCGTCATCTCCATTCCAGTATCTACTGCTTTCAAAAAATCTTAACTGGCTATTCACTGCCTTTAGGAAAAACACCCCCTTAGTAAAGCATATGAGGTGTTTCCTTCCTACATCCTCTCCTTGTCAATTATGCAGTTGTTTGATTTTTGTGATGCTAGACAGATCTGCTTGTGCACAAGGAATTTGCTCCTTTGCACACAGATTGTTCAGGTGCTGTCTGCTGAATGGATCCATCTCCCCACCCTTTTCACTCACAGTGGATAAAGGAAGAAGCCCCAGACATCCTGTGCCTCCAAGAGACCAAATGTTCAGAGAACAAACTGCCACCTGAACTTCAAGAGCTTTCAGGACTGTCTCATCAGTACTGGTCAGCTCCTTCAGACAAGGAAGGCTACAGTGGGGTGGGCCTGCTGTCCCGCCAGTGCCCACTCAAAGTCTCCTATGGCATTGGTAAGACCCTGTTGACCCCAGGACCCGGTTACTGTATTAGTATTATTCCATCCCTTTGTTCACTCTTGCTTTATTCTTGTTTTCTCTTTCCTTGTGGTTCTGCATGCTGATTCTTTTCCACTATTTTAGGTGAAGAAGAGCATGATCAGGAAGGCCGGGTGATTGTGGCTGAATTTGATGCATTTGTGCTGGTAACAGCCTATGTGCCTAATGCAGGGCGCGGTCTGGTAAGATTGGAGTACCGACAGCGCTGGGATGAAGCTTTTCGAAAGTTCCTGAAGGGCTTGGCTTCTCGCAAGCCTCTTGTGCTGTGTGGGGACCTCAATGTAGCGCATGAAGAAATTGACCTTCGCAATCCCAAGGGAAACAAAAAGAATGCAGGCTTCACTCCACAAGAGCGCCAGGGCTTTGGGGAATTGCTGCAGGCTGTGCCACTGACCGACAGCTTTCGGCACCTATACCCCGATACTGCCTATGCCTACACCTTTTGGACTTACATGATGAATGCCCGGTCCAAGAACGTTGGTTGGCGCCTTGATTACTTTTTGTTGTCCGACTCTCTGTTGCCTGCCTTGTGTGACAGCAAGATCCGTTCTAAGGCCCTGGGCAGTGATCACTGCCCTATCACCCTATACCTAGCACTGTGACACCTCCCCCTGAATTATTTTGAGCCAGGAAATAGGATTCTTTCTCTCAGAGCTCTCTAGTGAAATCTGCACTGTATTTTTCTCCTGTGTAGCCATGAATCCTTCAAGTAGGCTCCTATCACAGACTTAGGTTTCTCTAAAGGCTCCTAAGATGTTGGTTTTGTGAAGTTCTATGTCCCTTCCTCCACACTCATGCTTTTTTTTTTATTAAAAAAAGAAATGGTTAACTATATGTGAAAATAAAAGCTCATAGTTTTACTCCTTTGTGGAGCTACACATTGTGTTTCTTGTCTGCTTTTCATACATGCGCGGTGACCACTAGGAAAGGGCAGAGTCATGACCTTATTTATTTACAAGCACAGGATGAGTTCCTAACCTCCCCCAAGACAGCAGTCCCACCCCGCCCAGTCAAATACTGCAGCTGGGGGGTGAGGAAGGTTTGAAGGAAGAGTTAAGGGAAATACAGGACAAGGGGAACGTACCCCAAATTAAATAGTTCTATGTACATCAGTTCTTGTGGTTCTGTACAATCAGCGGCTGACCCCACCCTCATAGGACATGGAATGTGGGAGAGGAGGTGGAGGGTACTGAGGCCAGAGCCAGCCCCTGGTGAAGTGCAATAGCAGCAGCAAGGTCCCAGTGGTGCCAAGGACCCGAAGGGACCCCCAGGGCTGCCCAGCCCTGCCGCCCTGGACTGTCTAAGGAACAGGAAAAGGCTCAGGAAGCATTCGGGAAGAAAAGGGCTAGAACCATCACAAGGACCCAGGCATCAGGGCAATGCTTTGTCTACTTTGCCCTCAACAGCAATCCTTGGAGGGAAGCAGATGGCCAGGGTCTCCTCCACCCCTCCAAACCAAGCCATGGCCTGGGTCCTTCCTATCTCTCCCCAGGGAAAAGGAAGGCAGCTGCTCGACCTCCTTCGAGAAGCCCAGGGAGTCAGCCCAGTTCCCTCAGTAGTGTCGCTGTCCCCACCAGGAGAGGCCAGGCACAGTCTGTGGGTCATCGTAGAGCTCAGGAAAAGTTCTGAACAGGGTGGCTGACCTTCATGCAGGCCCAATAGAGGGCCCGGCCCAAACACAGCACAGCCAACAGGATCACAAATGCCCAGGCTGCGTAGATGCCTCCATACTGCCGCGCCTGCTCCCATGTGCCAAACTGACAAGATAAAGGGGGAAGAAAAATGAGGTTACTGTGGATAGTCCACTACTTCCTAGAAGCCCCAAGTATAGGAGCAGAACTCAGATTTCAGTCCCTGATCCCTATCCACACAGAAGACACCTCCAGCAACTTTTCTAGAGCTCCCCCAAGACAGGGATAATCTCATAGCAACCCAGACAGACATCAAGTCTCTTTTGATACCTGATGACTGAGTCAGGCTTCCTAAGGGCAATTCACAGCACCATCTAGTTCTATATTCTGGGATCCTCTCTACAGAGAATGGCTGCTTTGTACTTCTTTGCAGACAGCAGCCAGTCCACATGTGACAACAAAGCAGCCCTTTACCCCTAGTTTATTTTTTTTAGAGGCCTTACTTCCCGAGTTGAGGCCTATGGAGATGAAGCTAAGGAACAAAAGGGGTTAGGGTCGAGGTTACTCACAGCAAGGCCAGTAGCAGTGACTGCCAAGAGTAAACCAAGCAAGAAGCAACAGACACATTTCTTTCGCGGGTATCTGCGCCCGATGGATGACCTGTGGGGAGGCAAACAACTTGCAGTGGTCCGGTAGCTTCACTGCACACACCACTCCGGTGCCGGTTCTGTCCGTAATCACTTACACTTTCCTGCAGTGAGGGCACCGTGCCAAGGTTCGGTCTGTGAACTCTGTCCACTAGGGAGAAAGGAAAAGACACTCAGAGAAGCAGGGACTTTCTCCAGAGAAGCCCAGAGCGGGGGAGGGTGGGAGATAGGTCACAACAGGACAAATTTTCCCAGGATTCATTGCCATTACCCTGACACATATACTTGTACTCACTCCTGGCCTCTCCCCACCCCCCCAAGGCTCCCCACACCCTTCCTTACCAGAAAAGTATTCTTGCAGTGTCCACAGGTGACTCGGACACCCACAGGTTGTGGTTCTGGACTAAGAGGTCCCGGATGCACTGGCCCCAGATTGATGATTCTTTTGCTATATATGAAACAAAAGACCTTATGTGAAAAGCTTTGTGTTCAAAGGATCTCCCACAATGGGACACTAGCTTCTCTCTCTGTCAAGTTCCTCAGTGTCTAAGACACTTAAGATACTCTCTCTCCAATCCAACTTCAGAGAATCCTGGGAGAAAGCAGCTTCAATCCAAGATCTCCCGACTCCCCTAGAACTCCACAATAATGCACCCAGGCCCCCAAGCTCTCACTTCTCTTAGAGGATACTGTTTCATTCCAATGTGTCTATTGGGAAATGAGGAAATGGTTCCAACATTTCTGAAGTGCCGTGTTCCATGGCTTCTTTTCCTTCTAAATCCTCTACGAACACTACCAGTTTTCAGCTTTCCAGTTTTCCCTACTCAGGGTTGCTCCCGCCTCTTACCAGTAGGGCCGAGGACAGGCAATCCGCTGGGAAGTTACTTTGCAGATAAGCAGGCAGTTACAAGGGCACCGGACATATTTTTTCCCTTGAGGTGCATTCTTGATGGGCTAGAGAATAAGGGTGACATTAGCAAGCAAATCTCTAGTCCCAATCCCTTCCATCTCCCTCCAAAATCACTTTGAGGAGAAAACAGATAAAGAAGGCCCTAACCAAAAAGGAGAAATGAAAGCAAGCCTGCATCACAAGATCTGCAAATGAGAACTAGGCTTCAGTACCCACGATAGGTGTGAAGCCACCCGGGATGGTGAACATTAGCTGTGGGGAGTGGCTCCTGGGGGGACTGCTGGAACTGAAACCTGAGTTTCGTTAAGAATGCTTGGTGGGTCTACAATCAAGAGATCGGAAAGGAAGATCCAGGAAACTAGGGCCCATTTTCTATATGTGGAACTCACTGTGGCTTCGTTGCAGACACCACATTTGACTACATGCTGATGCATCTTGCCTTCCACATTGATGAGCGAATGGCAGACTCGGCAGGTGATCATGGGGGCACTCCCACTGTCCGGGCTGGTCAGCGGTGAGTAGGGGGGTGGGTCTTCCCCGGGCAGCACAGCAGGATGCCCCTCGGGGAATGGGGGAAATGCTGAGGAAGAAGATAGACAGAAGGGCTAGGATCACTTACAGACACCCCCCACCCTACCCCCAAGGATGCTCCACGGAAACAGGGAGCTCTCTCTGATTCCCAACCCTTCTGACCAAGCTCGCCGGGCTTCTCATAGTCGGCGTTTCACTCCACTTCCTCAGAACCCCCTTCTCTTCCCACGCTCAGGATGCGATTACAGAGAGGAGGAAACTTTAGCCTGACGTGGGTGAGGACAGAAACCTCACCCCATGGCAGGTGCCAGACCTGCACCTGACGCTCGGACCCCGCCTCCGCCCTCGGCCCCGCCTTTCGCCTCCTCTCAGCACCCCGGGGAATAAATCGGACCCGCCCCGGCTTACCCTGGGGCGGGGCATGTTTACCGGCTCCATACGGTGGGGCGGAGGGGGTCAGGCCTCCCCCGGGCCCAGCCCCACTCACTCCCGGCCCCACTAAACCGTTGCCGCCAGCGCCTCCGTCGATGGGTTCGGACAGCAGAGGGGAACGCTCTCCATCTGCCGCCATGGCTGCTACCGCCGCCGCCGCCGCCGCCGCCGCCTCCCGCTCCGATCAGCGATCCGGCCGCCGCCGCCGCCGCCGCCGCAGCCACCGCTGCCACCGCCGCCGCCGCTACCGGGTCCCCAGGGCGCCTGCGCGCCGCGAGCCCCGCTCACCCCGCAACCAGCGGCCTGCCCCGCCCCGTTCCGCCCCGCAGCACGTGATAGGCTGTCTCCGCCCTCGCCGTGCTATTATTCGCGGCGATAAGCCAATCCCGAGTCTAAGAAAGGCGGCTTTCCGTTTCCATTGGGTAGCGTGAGATGTATATCAACGGTCACATGACTTACCGAGAGCAGCTGAGCTTGCAAAAATCGCACGTGACTAGAGGCTGTGCGAGCCATTGGAGGCGCGGCCCATCGCGCTACCTCCAGCCCAGGAGGTGGGGCCGGGTCATGTGCTGCGGGGAGCTACGCCGCCTCGGTTGCGCGGGGTGACGTGACGCGTGCTCTTCTGCTCATTGGCCTGGCGACATCACTGAAACGCTCCTGCCTCTCTTTACCAGGAAAGCGGCCTCCCATTGGCTGGTGGTCCTGTGATTCTTGGGCAACCACTGTATTGGCTCGAACTTAGCGCCAGAACGCGAGGGCGTGTCCTCAGTGTGTTGAGGAGAGGGACAGTCCCAGAGTGCAGAATCCTGGGCAGTTCTGAGCGACCGACCGAGGAGGGGTAGGCTATCAGGCCCTGTTAGGTACCCTCCTGGGGGAGCGGGGGGATGCCTTTCAAAAGTCAAGGATGGCGTTGTGGCGCCCACATCCCGTAGTGGAGATTTGATTGAGCTCTGGCTACTCTGCTTCGCATCCAGCTTGTCGCTAAAGCTCCTGGCAAGGTCGTGGATCATGGTCCCCCGCCGGCCGCATAGAGACCCAGATGGAGTTTTCCCTCCTGGCTGCGCCTGACCCAGTGTTGGCTGTTGAGGGCATTTTAGGGAGTGAGCCAGGAAATGGACTTCTCCCTGTCTTTCCTCCCCATCCCACTCCTCTTCCGTTGTCACTCTGCCTTTCCAATAAGTAAGTTAAAAAAAAAAAAAAAAACTTAAGAACGTTTGCAAAGATCGTAATCCATGGTTTCTTGCTGGGATCAGTTCTAGAACAGGACACGAAATCTTACCCTCCCGACCCCCCACTGGTCAGATTGAGAGGTTACCAGATTGCAGTGTCTCCGCCACTGAATTTTGTGACCATTAACCCTTTAATGTTACACTAAACGTTCCTTGAATTTACCAGTCATCTCCAGGGTGATTTGTCTTCTCGTGGCAGATGGGTCAGCTTCTATGCCTTGAGCGAGGAAGTTGGTCATGGAGGTTACTTTAGTGTTTAAGAAGTCTCAAGTGAGCAACTGACGTTTGAACAGAGCGCCTTTTCACCCACCCATTTCTGATCATCCTTATGAGGAACTTCAGTATCAAAATCCCAACTATTTGCTCATGGCTCATTGCTACTAAGAAACAGTTTGCAAGCCAAACGGCCTATGAGACCTTTAGCACTGATGGGCCCCAATTCTCATGAATCAAGGCCCATCTAAGTCTGGTTATCTCACAGGTGGCTCCAAGTAATTAGGTGGGTGCTTCCCTTAGTTGCTGGAGGCAGGGGCTGTCCAGCCGAGTTAGGTAGGGAATGTGTGGTATTTCTCCTCACCTTGCTCGCTATTGTGAATTGTCCCTTTCCAAGCTATTGTGAACTACCCCTATTAAAAACCCTATGGATGTGCTGTTCATCGGGCCACACTCCGGTAAGGGGTGTTGGTCCCGGTTGGCCGGCTGGCTGGTCGGTCTGCTGGTTGACTGCTCTCTATCAAGAACCCAAGCTCGGACATGCCACGCTTGAATAACTTGTGCACTTGAACCGACTTCAGACTCCTGGTGATTTCTGGGGATCTCAAAATCTGGGCACACACTTATCTGCCTCGGCTTTCCCGGGACAGATCAGGCTCTGTCACTCCTCGTCAGAGCCCTTGTACAGGGTACTAAACAGATGAAGTGTTTAGGATTCCTTCCCTCCTACACTGAGGGGAACTTGTATTCTTTGTAGTTTCAACATTGTTGATGATTCAGAGTTAAGATCTGGGCTGACTGACAGTCAAGGCGTACTGCCCTTACTTCTGAGAATGATATGGAAAGTCTTCTTTAGTTCTGTAAGTATGGGATGGGTAGGCTGTTATTTAGGGATTAATGGTGAAGGCTAGGCAAAAAAAAAAAAAAAAAAGGAAAAAATGATTCACTAAGAAATGTTTGCTTTGCAGGGTTACTGAAGTGATGTTCCTTAGCTAGGCAAATACAAGATGCTAAGGTCCCCTGGGAATAGGAAATGGGAGGTACAACTGGCCTTTTTGCATATTTGGTGTCCTCAACCATGGAGTCAACAACCCACAGACCAGAAGAAGTATGTATTATTTTTAACTTGCAAGAAAGAAATACTGGGCCCGACGTGGCCTAGCGGTTATTGTCCTCACCTTGAACGCCCCTGGATCCCATATGGACTCCGGTTCTAATCCTGGCGGCCCCGCTTCCCATCCAGCTCCCTGCTTGTGGCCTGGGAGAGCAGTCGAGGACGGCCCAAGGCTTTGGGACCCATGTGGGAGACCCGGATGAGGTTCTTGGTTCCTGGCTCCGGATGGGCGCAGTACTGGCCGTTGCAGTTCACTTGGGGAGTGAATCATCAGATGGAACATCTTCCTCTCCATCTCTCCTCCTCTCTGTATATCTGACTTTGTAATAAAAATGAATAAATCTTTTTTTAAAAAAGAAAAAGAAATATTACAATTTTTAAGTAGTGACTTGGGGCCAGTGCAGTAGTGTAGCAAGCTAATCCTCAGCCTGTGGCACCAGCACCCCATACTCGTACTGCTGTTGCACTTCTGATCCAGCTCCTTGCTGATGGACTGAGAAAGCAGCTGAAGAGAGGGCCCAGCACGGTGGCCTAGGAGCTAAATTCCTCACCTTGAATGGGCTGGATTCCCATATGGGTGCAGCCCCGCTTCCCTTCCAGCTCCCTGCTTGTGGCCGGGAAAGTAGTCGAGGGCAGCCCAAAGCCTTGGGACCCTGCACCTGTGTGGGAGACCCGGAAAAGCTCCTAGCTTCGGATTGGCACAGCTCCAGCTGTTGTGGTCACTTTAGGAGTGAACCATCGGATGGATGATCTTCCTCCCTGTCTCTCCTCCTCCTCTCTGTATATCTGACTTTGCAATAAAAACAAATTAAAAAAAAAAAAGCAGCTGAGGATGGCCCATGTCCAGGGGTCCTGCACCCACGTGGGAGACCTAGAAGAAGCTCCTCGCTACTGGCTTGAAATAGGCTCAGCTCTAGTCGTTGTTGCCATTTAGGAAGTGAACCAGTGGCTAGAAGACCTTCTCTATCCTTTTCACCGTAAATCTGCCTTTCAAATACAATAAATCTCAAAAAAAAAAAGCTGTGACTGGGTATAGGTGTTGCAAGCATATCGGTAAGCCCTGGCTTGCATTACTCACAGCCCCTATCAGCCTGGGTTTATGTCCTGCCTCTTTTTCCAATCCAGCTTCCCGTTAATGCATCCAGTGGACTGGAAATGGCATTCATATGGTTTGCCAGCACTGCAGGCTTTACCCGCTCTGCCACAGTGCCAGCCCCATCACATTCTCTTTTTGTCTATCACTCTGCCTTTCCAAGAAAGCTTTATCTGACTGAACTTGAACAGGCTTTTCTTCCTTGTGATTTTCTAAATAATACAATGTGACAATTTATGCAGCAGTCACATTGTGTTAGGAATTAGAAGTAATTTAAAGTACTCAGGAGATTGTGCTTACATTATATTGCAACACTGTGCCTTTTATATAAGGGACATGAGCGTCCACAGAGATTGGCATCCTCAGGGGTCCTGGCACAAAGTCCTCTTCCCCATGCCCAGATATCAATTCTGACCACCTGCTCTTGGGAAATGTCTCATCTGTTCTATCAGAGGAGTGGTCTTCTGGTCTGAGATGACTACTTTTCCCTGGAGAACCCCTGAGGGAAAGGTTCTGCTTGACCCCTTCCCGGAGACTGAAGCATAACCTTGACCGTCACTCACCAAGCCAAGGGGCAGTGTGCCCTGCCAGCCTCTGCCCTCCCCAGCAGCTTCACATGGCCTTCATAGCATCCTGAACCCCACCTGGGTTTTATCCAAATCACCCCTGGAAAGCAATGGGAACTGATAAAGGAGCAGACTCTGAAAGCCATGAACAATTTGCTGGAAGCCTCTCCACAGAGCTCAAAACTGAAGTCCAGCCGGCCTCAGATAGTAATGAAGGAACTGCTATTGTCCCGGCCTTGTGGCTGCCCCAGGAGCTGGACACCTCGCCTATGTGCTGATGGTGAGGCACATTTTTTCCTCAGGCCAGCTTATAGTTAGAAGCTACTGTCCTTGTAACAAGCAGTTAGATCTTCCTTCTGATCCCTGCCAACTAACTAAAGGCCTTCTGGACACAAAATGGGGAAAGGATTATAGGGCTAAAAGGAAGCAGGCCACTCTACTGCTCTTTCTGCTTGTATTGGTACACAAATACTGAAGAATTCACTGAGTGGTTGCAACATTTTGTGTGTGTGTGTGTGTGCTTTTGTCATTTCCCTACCCTCATCCAAGTTATATTTGATGGTCATTTAGACCTAATTGTATCTACATAAAGGTAAGGGGAGAGATGGAAAACAGAATATAGTCCCAAAAATCTCACAAGAATGGCTGAATAGAAATGTCTTTTGTTTGTTTTTCTTTCTGTTGTTGTTATTGTTGTTTTAAAGATTTATTTATTTATTTATTTTATCACAAAGTCAGATATACAGAGAGGAGGAGAGACAGGAAGATCTTTTGTCCAATGATTCACTCCCCAATTGACTACAACAGCCAGAGCTGAGCCTATCCAAAACCAGGAGCCAGGAGCTCTTCCGGGTCTCCCATGCGATGCAGGGTCCCAAGGCTTTGGGCTGTCCTCAACTGCTTTCCCAGGCCACAAGCAGGGAGCTGGATGGGAAGCAGGGCTGCAGGGATTAGAACCAGCGGCTCATTCAAAGCAAGGACTTTAGCCACTAGGCCACCATGCCGGGCTCTAGGTGGTGTTTAATTTTAGATTAAATGCAAGGATGTATGGGGTTGGCTCAGTGGCACAGCAGGCTAGTCCTCTACCATATGGGTGCTGGTTCCTGTCCTGGCCATTCCACTTCCTGTCCAGTTCTCTGCTTTGTGGCCTTGGGCAACCAGTAGATAGAGACCAAGAAGCTCCCAACTCCTGGCTTTGGATCAGCTCAGCTCC